ATGTGATAAGAATTTGTTTTAAATTTGAATATGTATGCTACGCACGTAAACAGAGTCTTTGATTTGGCGCTAATCTAGAATGTGGGCAAAAAAAAATTGATTGGGTGCGTGTAATTGCCAGCGGCAAAAACTTTTTTGTAAGTGCGAATGGTGCTGTAATTTTTAACCGCCTCCAAAAACGGAGGAGGTTATCAATTCGTCGAAATATTTGTTCTTTGTAGTTTAAGCTTTGTATACAGATTTCAAAATATATGTAAATTAGACTTAGCATCAGCAAAAAAAGTTGCGCTTTTCCAGCTGTATTACAAAAATATTGTATTTTAAGACTTCCACCAAAATATTTCGAAAAAGTATTAAGATTTCCGTTAGCTGGACCGGTTTGAAAATATCTCTAAAAATGGAGTTTTTTGTGAATAGAATTGTTTCTTAAAGAATTTTTTGAAAAAAATCACCTCAGATGACAAAACAGTTTAAGCTTAAACAATCTACATAAAAATATTACAAATTTTTTTCAACGGAATAATGAAATATTTGACGCTGCTTTTTTAACTTTTTTCAAAGATTTGTTTAAGAAAAACTTGAATAACTGCTCTAAAACTTTAACGACACAGACTACACACCTACACAAAAAAAAATTCAAAACCAATAGCATACTAAAAAATTGTTTATTATAGCTTAAAATTTTGTTGTACAAAAATACATAAACAGAAGTTCACAAAAGTTGATATAAAACTATTCATCAATTTAAATAGTTAACTTTTTGCTGCGTTTATTTTACGAGGAGGAAGCATCGAAAGCTTAACCCCGTCAGTGTGAGACTTTAACCAACGTTCCCCTCCCGGTACCTCCGTCAAGGATTTCGTCGGGATTATAACACCGTTTGACTGATAAGGTTATAGCTCTATTCTCTTCTTCTTATTTGGCTGTAACCGCCAAAGCGTTCCCTTCAGTGCCAACTGACACCAATTGGAAATGCCAAGTGAAGCCACAATACTTTCAGCTCATCGATCCATCGTCTGCGGTACTTGCCGGCGGCAACGCGTAAAGGCTCGTAAATCTTCCGCAAAATCATTCTCTGGAATACTCCAAGAGCCACCTCATCGGATTATTCTGCGTCATATACCAGCACGGGCATGATGAGTGACTTATAGAGTGTGGTTTTCGTACGTCGGGAGAGCACTTTACTCCTAAATTGCCTACTCAGTCCAAAGTAGTACTTGTTGGCAAGAGTGATTCTGCAATGGATTTCGATGCTGTTAATGCTGGTTCCCAAGTAAACGAAATTCTCCACTTTCTCGAAATTATAACTGTAATCAGTGACCTGGGTGCCAAATCGCGAATGTGCTGATTGTTTGTTTGATGACAGGAGGTACTTCGTCTTGTCCTCGTTTATCGCCAGACCCATTCACTTTGCTTCCTTATCCAACTTGGAAAAGGCAGAACAGACTTCGCGGCTTTTGTTACCGATGATGTCGATGTCATCGGCATAAGCCAGCAATTGTACGCTCTTGTAGTAAATTTTTCCTGCGCGGTTCAGTTCTACAGCTCTTATTATTTTCTCCAATATCAGATTAAAGAAGTCACATAAAAAGTAGTTGGCCTGTCTGAAAGCCCATTTCGTGGCGAACGGTTCGGAGAGGTCTTTCCCAATTCTGGCAGAGCTGGTGGTATTGCTCAACGCAATTTTACACAGCCCTTAGAGTTTTGAGGGGTTGCCAAATTCAGACATAGCGGCGTATAGGAGACTTTTTTTAGTGCTGTCGAAAGCGGCTTTAGGTGGTGTAATTTCTTTGTAATTTTTTCGTAGTAAAGTTTAACTAATGATTTAACAATAATTTTAAATAGATATATGAGCAGCCTCTAATATGCTATTTTTATTATAGAAATGTATGTACGCTATGTGTTTTCTGCCAACTGCTGTAATTACTTAAGAAGTAAAACTTCTTGGCTGTTCACCAAACCGGTCAATAGTTTTATCAACAATCTCAGATTGGTTCTGTGATACAAAACTTTTGATGTACGTTTAGAAAGCACAAACTTAAGGACAAAGTAATAAACAATTAAACTATAAAGTAATAAACAATTAAATTTAAATTTATTTATAGTTTACCGTTCAATCCATTTGCGCTCATTGTCGACTACAGCCAGGTTTTTACCCTTTTTAAAGGGAAGCGCTTTGAAGTTAGAGAGAATAACTTGATACCGAACCACATATCCACTTTTTAAATCAATTTACTAATTATTTTGTTAGCATTGAGTGTATAATTTGTTATATAGTATATATATGTAAAAAAAAATTTTAGGTAAATGGGGGGGGGAATTATCGAACGAGCATTTCCTGGTACTATTTTTGAATATCTAGACAAACATTTGGAAGTTAGGGGAGGGGGATCACCAATTTCTCCGCGAAACGCCCACCATATTCCTTTAAAAATCATACTCCAATTTTACGAACTTTAATAAACTAAATTCACAATTGCTAAGAATCGATTGGAACACGCTATTGACTAAAATGGATACCACGAATGCCTTCACCACATTTAAATCTCGTGTTTTTGGTGTTTGCGTGGATCTCATCCGCACGTTCACTAGGAAACCCTATAAATACACAAAAAAATGGTATACAAAAGAGCTGAAACGTCTAAAAAACCTGAAGAATAAATGCTTAAAAAAATTAAAAATTCTGGGCATACATTGTACCTTGAGCGTTATCAGCGTTACCGTAAGAACGTCGACGCCCCCGATAAGCGTCTTTATGATAGGTACAATAAAAATTATGAATCGAACATCAAAAATACCCCAAAAGCTTTTTGAAGTTATATCACGTCTAAATAATCAGGTTCTGGCATTCCTTCCTCCGTCTTCCGTAATGATAAGCATGCAAGCTTGTTGATCCCGCTAATCTTTTTGTTGAGTTTTTTGTGCCAATTTCGTGTCCGATGCTGAGCTACCTTTCGATGGTAGTTCCATTTCAGACTCGGCACTGTCTCTCGGTTCCCTCCTTGTAACCTATGAAGACGTTAGAAGAGGCATCGAATCGCTAAAATCCTCTAAACAAAAGGACGCCGATGGACATTCGGCGATTATTTTCAAAAAGTGCTCCTCCCTGATTGAGCCGCTAACACTTATTTTCAATAAGTCCTTAACATCGGGCGTTTTTATAGATGACTGGAAAAGAGCATCCATAACACAGCTGGGCAGCGTCTGCCCGGCGGGCGACTGCGCGGCATATTGGCGTATACATACACGCTCTGCTTGGGATGACAGCGAAAGCTTCATTCAACCCCACGACATGTTCGCACACACACAGTGACATTAATTGCACGCACACTACAAAAATGCTGTGCCGAAGCTGCCCACCTCTGATCTACATATAAATCCAAATTTTAAAAGCGGCATCAAGAACGACGTAGGTAATTATTGACCCATCTCGAAATTATCAATGGTCTCTAAAATTTTCGAGATTGTTGTTAAAGAGAATTCACGATTAGTGGTCTTATCTGCTGTAACCAACACCGATTTTTCAAGGGTAGATCCAAAGTAACAAACCTTGCTGATTTTGCGGAAGACTGTTTCCACTGTGTTTACACTGGTTTTTCGAAAGCTTTCGACAGAGTTTCAAAGATTGTTAGCATCCAAACTTTCGGCTTTAGGATTCCATTCCACTTTCCTTGAGTGGATTAAGTCCTATCTTAGTAATAGGCTCTGTGTGGTTGCCATAGATAATGTCTCCTCCCAACCTTTTGTTGCATCTTCTGGCGTATCCCAGGGCAGCATCTTAGGACGTTTGTTATTTACATTATTTATAAACGACATCGGCACTTGTTTCGCAACTTCTAATTTCCTGCTATATGCAGACGATCTTAAAATGTACTCAATAATCAAAAACTTGCAAGACTCCTTTGTTCTTCTGTCGGAACTCGATAATCTTATGTCGTGGTGCGCTCGCTATCGTCTTAACTTAAATGTTAATAACTGTTCTCACTCTTTCTTTCCGATAATGCAAATTCCTATCTCAACGAGCTATCATATCTCTGGGGTTTCCCTGAAATATGTTGCCGAGTTTAAGGACTTGGGTGTATACTTCGATATGAAACTCTGCTTCTCAACGCATATTAATTATATGGAATGTTGGGTTCTATCCGGCGTAACAGCTCTGCGTTTACGGATCCGTACATACTGAAGTTGCTATACCCTACGCTGGTAAGATCTAGGCTTGACCATGCTTGTTTTATTTGGATACCATATATTGCCTCGCATGTAAGCCGAATAGAGCGAATTCAAAAAGTTTTCATCAAATCGGCTCTTCGCTCACTGAATTTCAGTGAACCTATATCACCTTACGAATCTCGTTGTCAGCTTTTGGCTTTAAATTCTTTATATACAGGTATGCTTTTCTAGCTTGGTTTTTTTGTTGCAAATCTTATGAGCAGCTCCGTCGATTGCCCAATCCTACGCCATTCTCAATTGTTCTACGTGGAGGCTTCTAAGTATAATTACGCTAAATTTGCTTCATCCCAAGAGCGCTCTTAAAGTTAAATAATGTTCCAAATCTTGATCCAGCACTACCCGATGCAACAGTCCGTATCCTGTTATTTAACTACTTTAACTAGTATTTTAGTAAACTTGTTCAGTAGTCAGTATGTATATATTGTTCATTTGACTAATATTATATAAATAAAAATAAATAAATAATTCAACATGGAATGGAGCTCGTTTATCTTACCTTCCCCTTTCACACTTTGAATGAGCTTATCTGCAAATAAATAAAAAGGCTGAAAAAGTACCTTACCAATGATACCAATGATAAGTCTAAATTGGTAAGGTTTTGGTTGAGTTATTAAAGTTTTTCTTAAACCAGTCTTTGAAAAAGTTCAAAAATCTCTTTGATATGATTCCGTTGTAATATTTTTTTAACTGTTTTTATGCAATTTTTTAAGCTTAAACTGTTTTGTCATCTGAGGTAATTTTTTTTTTCAAAAAATACTTAAAACTTATTAATAAAAAAACTGAATTTTTTGAGGTATTTTCAAATTGGTCCAGCTCACTTAAGTTTTAATATTTTTCCGAGATATTTTGGTGGAAGTCTTAGAATATAATAGATTTTATAATTCCCGTGGAAAAACAGTCCCGTTTTTTATGTATAGGGAGTAATACAGTCTAATGTACATATGTATATTAAGAAATATTCTTCATTGTTTCTGATGCCTGAAAAACTACTTTCCGGTTGCTGTAAATTTTATTGAAGAATATTTCTTTTCCTTTTCCTGAACGTCATTTTATATGAATTTTTAATTTTTCTTGATATGAGGCATTTCATGTCACCGCGGCCACATCTATGCCCAATTATAGCCCATAATTTTTACTCCACTTTTTGTTAAGATTTTCGCATTTTGAATAAAGAAAAGGACTAAATTTATTGCGAAAAGCACCAAGTTGGCAACAGTGGTGAGGATGTTCCATGCATGTTTCTTTTACACTATGCTGCAAACATTGTACCTTAACGCAACACAATCTGTGCTATTGTTGGTTCGAACCTACCTGCTGGTGTGATAGTATAAACACACGGCTCACTCTGGTCGCCAATTTCGTTGCTGGCCCAGCACAGCAGAGTGCCATAGTCCTGCAAAAGAAAAACCGAATGAGAGAATGAGAAATAAAAGGCGTAATGAGTGAGAGAAAAAGGTGCAAAGAAAATTGCGCAGAGGGGAGCAAAATTTATTACTATGCTTACATGAAGCAGGTATTTATACATATAATCAAATTTGCATGTCAGACCGAACAAATATGGGGTAGGCGCTAAACGACCTACTGCCAACGAATTTCCTGCAATCAGTCGGCTAACTCTGACCCCCAGCTGTTTGGCGGCTTTGTTGGCTTTTACTGACCCTGCTGCTATTGCTTTGGCTGAGTTTGCGTTCATTGAAAATTCAAAACCTCAATTCAGTCGGAAAATTATGCGAATCTATCGGAAAAGTTATGATTTATTGCCCCACACGAACAAGCATAGACTACCATACTGCCATGTGTTTGGGCACTTGCTTGCTTGATGGTGTAAATGTCACGTGAAGACTACATCGCATTTTGTCTGCTGCAGCAGTAGCACGCCGAGCGCCACATCATAATTCATGCGGCTGACATTCGATCAACTGAACTGAACCGGAAAGTCAGGCTCACACTCAGCTAACCAGTAAAGCAATCATCTTGACAGTACTCAGCAGCTGCTCTTCCACGCGCAATTCATCTTCTCAACCAAGCCTTCCGGCCGTTGCTATCTTCGCACTTACATTCTCCGTCATGGGCGTGTAGTGTGCTATGCTTCTTCCTCGATCCACCGCTATGAGTGATGCTGGTATGTCAATAGTCTCGCCGATTGATGCATTGAATTTCCAGATGTATGTCGCCTCCAACGGATTCGCTTCAATTTCGCAGGCAATTTTAACCATTTCATGTCGACCGGAACTGTAAGCAAAGCGTTGGCTAGGCCGGCAAATGGGCGCAACTGTGAAGTAGAAGAGCGGAAAATAAGAAAAGCGTTAAAAGAGTGCACATTAAAAATTACAGGCGGCAGTTGCAAAGTGGATTTGTATGCTAGTTTAAGAATGATTGTCAGCGACTGCGTTAAGACACTTGAGTCGGGATGTCTGTAAGTAGTATTTAGCAAGCGGACTACTTACGGACCAACATTTGCATAATTAAATGAAAACATTGACGCAAGTTTAATTTCTCCTTAAATGCAGAAATCAATTGGCAATTTCCCTTTATCCTTTTTTGCTTTCTTTTCACTTTTTGCTCTCAGTACTTTTGCCTCTGTAATTCTGCCGCTTGCCATTATTTTAATTTCAAGTCTGTCATCGAATGATTGATTGACTTTTTAAAATGATTTTTCTCTGGAATGGCAATTTTAATTTGCTTATGCACCCACGCATGCGTATTCTCACACATGCACACTTACATATGGCCCATATGTTATATATGTGTATGTACATATGTGAGTATGTAAATGCTAACGATAAAATTCATACTTCACGCCTTTATATTTATTCAGAAGTTACTTACATATGAACGTACATATATTATATACGTCCATATATTATATCTACATAATTGTACACAAACAAGTTTGAAACTTTGATATACATATCGATGGTTGAGTGGAAGATCGACCTATCTCGGCAGCCAGTTCGAAAACGCGCTATCTCAGAAATTTTTTCGAACTCGCTCTATCTCAGAAAACTTTTCAAGAACGCCCTACTTCTGAATTTGATTGGAAAACGCCCTATCTCACAATTTGGTTGAAGAACGTCCTATCTCAGCTTATTTTCGTTTGAGATAGGGCGTTTTTGAACCAAAATCTGAGATAGGACGTTATTTAACCAAATTTTGAGATAGGGTGTTTTTTAACAAAATTCTGAAATAGGACGTTCTTGAAATGTTTTCTAAGATAGGGCGCTTTTGAACTGGCTACCGAGAAAGGTCGATCTTCNAAAAAAAACATAATTAGCTTTAAATAAATTTTGAATAATTATTTTAAAAATCCGCTCATGACTTATTGTTTGAGTTTTTGATGTTTTTTTGATGAAGTGTGAAAGAGCAGCGGAATAACTCGGAGTTTTCTTGCAAGTCTTTGGGGCTTCAAAGAGAAGTGTTGTTGAAATGACCTTAATGGAGTGGCTTTTTTGAGTTGATTTAACTCAAGCGTTTTCGCGGCCCCTCTGTGCCCGACCTATTTTTATGAAAGTTAAAGGGATTGTAGGTCTAGGCGGCATGAATGCACGTGCAGCATATTTTGCCAATATGATGCACAGTTCCTTATTTATAATAAAAATAACACGTTATATATTCCTTTCTTTAAAGTGCTAAACTTGTAATAAAATTTATTGAGAAACAAATTTTTTTTTCGTCTTGTCATGAACTTTAAATATAAATTCACATATGTATGTATATATAGCTGTGAGTAAAATAATAGCATAAAAATTCAAAGCATGTTGTTGGCAACTTATGTTTATTTTTACTGTGTATGCATATTTCCCTCCACAGGGGGGGGTTTAAACCCCCAACCCATCGCCCCCGCATATGTACGTATGCAGACTAACAAATTGGAGGCGATGCAAATCTGTAGTGCCTGTCAGATTCGTTCTAATTAACGATATTTATTCAAACACAAAGCATGAGTATAAGATAAAAAATAAATCATATCTTTTACCAAGAAATTATATAATTGAAATATTTTAAAATTTTAGTGCCAATATTTGTAAAGGGTACTTATAAATACTTATGTACGCATATAATTCGCATAAACGACGACATACATACTTGCATATTCAGAATTGTTAAAGCAATTTACAGCTGCCAAGTATCCTAATTGTTTGCTAAAAATCTCTTTAACAATCGTAACTATTTGAGTAAGCCCAAGACCACAATCTAGAATATGTGTATGAAAAGTATGTGCGTTGATGTAGAATGCGGAATAATGAAACAATTTAAAATATACAAAACTAAATTGTCTACGTCACGAGCAAATGCCAAATCAGGATACGATAAACAATTTGCCAGACTATTTAGTACCTATGTACATACAGATGTATAGTACTCGTACTTACAAAATGCAGTACAGATTTCCTATTAGTTGCTGAAAGGCGGACAAACTGGGACGAAATGAAATCAGGTACATAGAAAGCAACTAACCAGAAGGCCATCGATAAGAAGGGTGTCAGCAGTCAACCAGGCAGGCAATAGCAAGATTGTCGGACAAAACAACTTTGGATAGCCAAAATGACAGACGGTCTTGGTTAGATGCTCTTGCACATTACTAAGCGCTTATAATAAGTACTACAAGTGAAATGTGTACCTATAAATGTACGATTCTGGGGACATATAGTGCATATTGCTTTGAGTATATTCGTGCGAAAGCAGCCCTGGTTATTATCACGCGGATAACTACCAGCAACACTCTGTGACTTCGGTGATAATTATTAAGTTCGTGTTTAAGTGTAGTTTGCTGTGTATACATACATATATATGTGCGTTTATGTGGGACATCTTGTTCCAGCACTGCAGGATTATAGGCTAAATATGTACAACAAATATATTTGAATGGCTGTTCATTATTTGAGACCTTTTTTGAGAGCTTCTTGCTAAATGCTGAATAATTTAGTACAATTCCTAGAATCATATATGGCAAATAGCACTGAAATCACAGCTGTTCACTCTGCAACTACCTTCAGCTTATATTTGTATTGTGTAGAATATTAGATTAGACTGCCTCTCGCACTATAAAAAGAAAAGTTAATTTTAAAGCTCACTGTATATTGAAACATTGCATTCAAATTTACATATAGTAGCGTCTAAAATAAAGCTTTTCATTGTCGGTTTTAAATTGGTTTACAACTAAGAATCATACATACATACATACATACATCAAAAACCCATAATATAAATGCTTTACATTAGACACAACTATAAATTTTAATGCAACCTTTAAATATAAGGTGAGCTGTAAACTAAAGGTTACACGGGAAAACGGCCCCTAGTCTATTTCATAGTTTCCACCAAAATATTTTGTAAAACGTTGAAAATATGTGCTCCTAAAAAGTTAAACCTCTCTCCTTTGAAATGGGCTTAGGCACTGAATTCGGGCAGAAGGTTCTGGCTCAAGAGATAAAATCTACCAAATTTTTTTAATTTCTTTGCAGAAGCAGCAACTTTCCGAGGCATCTTAATGTATTTCTATATGGAAATTATGTGTGTATGTACGTTCATACATAGATATCAAAATGCAAATATTTATGTATTTAGTTGTATATTCTGAGAGCAGTTTCGAATCTATAGGCTTATTCATAGCGGTGTCGTAGGTGTCGTAAACGGCTAAATATAATTAAGGGGTTTGCGAGGTACCATAAAATCCTTTTTATGAATTTTTACAGTGTTAAAGAATAATTCGTTTTAGTTTTAAGTCCTATAAAGATTTATTTAAGCTTTTACAGTTTACGACATACAACAATACGACACTTACGACACCGTTATGAACACCCCAAATATATTTAGCTTTACACATCGCCACAAATCTGTATTTTATATATCTATGTACATACATATGTTATATGCGTGTATACCTCTGAGTAATGTTTTGGTGCATTACATCCACGTATTTTTGATTTCTACGCACACTTAGTTTTTATGCCGCTCAAACAATAGGAAATCGAAAAATTCATTTAAACTAGCATCCGAAGTTGCTCGTGGCTACAAATCGATGACTGGAAAAGTCTACAACTAATTGGCTACGCTCACTTAATTAAGGAAATATGCATCTGCATGAATGTGTTCTTAAATGTAAAAGTATTTTCATGTAGCATAACTTTTGCAAATAATTTGCTTGTATGAATAATAAAATTTATGTGCACATGAGTGAATATACATACATATATCTATGTGCATATATGTACACACATATCTACATTCCAAAATGAATTCAATAATTTATTTACCTGCCCTTAAAGAGTTTATTTGCGAATATATTTAAGATTTTTAGCATTGAATGCATACCTTTCACATGTATTCGATTGTAAAAACATAATTTTAATGTCAAGTTAGCCATGGAGCCTGATGATATATGTACATAAGTATGCATATGTATTAATGGTTTGTTGGCAGCTTTAAATTATTATTTGTGTTCCACCTTAAACTTCATATACAATCGATCTTCATTTTACGCGTGATTTTTAACCTTCAAAGCGCCCGGAATTGAAAACTCACGTAGACGGTCGGAAGTCTAAATTTTTGGCTAGCGTTAATCTGTAGGGAGAATCATTTAAATATTTGAACAAAACACAGTTACACTGTTATACTTGTGTTAAATGCTGGCGAAAAAAATTTACTTTTATACATTGAGCAGCCTTTACCGAAAGTCTAAGTGTGAATATGTGCGTCGCAAACTCGCATTTTGTTTGCCAAACACAAAATTCGTCTGCATAACACCTACCTAATCACGCACGCAAATACATGCGTAGGTAATTATAAAAAAAAAAAATGTTTCGACACACAGACATCAAAAAAGTTGGGTTTAGTAACTTGTCATTAATATTACAATGTTGCAAAACACACTTATATACTATATACTCACGAAACTAAGATCCAAATTTATTAAAACTGGCTTTCTAGCTTTTCTCTCCGACGTCAGTATCTTATTTTAAAGGACTTTGAATCCTTAAGGACATGAAAAATTAAAAAAACTATTAATAAAATTCAGTTCAGACTTTTTGTCCTGATTACGAATCCGTAAGTTTAAATTTCCCTCAGCTGCAGATTGATTTTGAGAAAACCGCGTCTAAAGTGTAACAAATCGAAGTTTTTGCAATATTTAAGAAGCTCTAGCAAAGAAGCCAAAGGTGATAGAACCTTTCACTTAGCCCTAAATTAAACGAAATGTGATTGAAGAGCGCTATATTTCAGAAATTTATTGAAAAACACTCTATCTGAGAATTTGGCTGAAGAACGCCCTAT